TGACAGTTGCCTGCGTTGACGACAAATGTAATTGGCGCTTGAGAGTGACAAAAATGGACACGAATGAGTGCTTTGTAGTTCGCAAATATGCACGGGAACATACTTGCGAATTGGAAATTTATCGAAATGATCACAAGCAAGCTCGAGCATGGTTTATTGGTCGACAGATAATGCATAAGTATCAGGACCCATGGACAATGTAAAGACCTTCGGACATCATTAACGACGTCCGTCGAGAGTATGGAGTAGTCATGAGCTACCAGAAAATCTGGAAGGCCAAAGAATGTGCGTTGGATGATTTAATGGGATCGGCTGAGGAGAGCTATATTAAATTGGCCAAGTATTGCCATAACATGGGGACAACTAATCCTGACACGACATTTTTTATTGAGACGGGGGGTGATAATTGTTTTAAGTATTTCTTCATGGCTCTCGAACAATGTATTCCGGGTTTTCGAAATGCAATGCGACCCGTAATTCTAGTTGATGGTACAACTCCGAAAGCTAAATGTCAAGGTAAATTAATTATTGCTACATGTCAATACGTCAACATCCAAATTTACCTTATTGAATTCGGCATAATTGACAGCGAGAATGATCTGTCCATACGTTAGTTCTTTTCGAAACTGGGGGAAGTGAACCCGAAGACCTTGCCTTTGTAACAGATCGGGGACAGTCTATAATAAACGGTATCGCTGAAATTTTTCCCAAGGCACATCACGGGTATTGCATGTACCATATACAAGGTAATTTGAAGACTAATTATCGAGGCAAAGGCATCGTTTCATTGTTCAGGAGAGCAGTCGAAGCTTACAGTGGTGAAGAGTGTAATAAGTTCATGTTCGAGATAGGAAGTAAATTATTGCTAGCGTTGGAGTATCTGACGAACATGGGGATTGAACATTAGGCGCGGTCATACTTTTCGGGACGTCGATATAACATGATGACGTCGAATAACGCGGAGTCTCTCAATTCATTGTTTGAGAATGATCGAGAGTTACAAATTCTTGCAATGATTGAGAATATTCGTAACAAGTTGCAACGTTGGTTTCATGATCGACGTGCGGCATCACAGAGTTGTACTAGCGTGCTGGCCCCAGTTCAAGAAGAGAAACTCTTTAAGGTGACAGAAGTTGCGAGAAAGTTGAATGTGGAAGCACTAGATGAGTTTCGCTTCTCAGTGCAATGTGCACGTAATACGGCATAAATGGTGGACTTGACTGATAACACATGCACTTATACGAGATTTCAGTTGGAGAGTTTTTCATGTGAGCATACAGTTGCGGTAGCCATGTATCGAGGCTTTGCAGCTAGAATGTTATGCTATTTATATTATACGAATGAGTCTTGGAGAACAGCATATGCTGAGATTGTATTTCCTCTGCCAAATGAAGCCGAGTGGGAAGTTCCCAAACACATTCTCCCATTTCATGATTTGTTGCCACCAGCAGTCGAACCGCGTGGTCCTGGACATCCAAGTACATCTAAAATACCATCTACTGGAGAGTTTCCTCGACCACTTAGGTGTGGCAGGTGCAGAGCCATAGGGCATACTTGACAATTTTGTACCAGTCAAATTCTCCTAAATGACAATTAGACAAGTACGTTAAATGAATAATATTTCTGACTTTACACTATTCAATATTTGTTCTTCATAAATGTTCAATGTTCAATATTTATTCTTGATAAATAGTATTTATAATGATTCATATGAAAAAATTAGTTCCATTCTCAGCATATGTGTAAAATAACAAAAAATCAACTTACAGAAAAATAATTAAATTTTCAATGTGAATGTTATATACATCGAACACAAATTTACAATTATTTCATAATCACAAAAAATAATTAAATTTTCAGTGTGAATGTTATATATATTGAACACAAATTTAAAATAATTTTATAATCACGAAAAATAATTAAATTTACAATTCGAATGTTACATAATTTAATACAAATTTACGGGTCACTATTAAAATCGAACAAATCATAAGCTAGCTTCTTTCTCCAGTTCTGTATCCAAGATTGATTGATTCCATCAAACTTATGTCTTATACTTAAAAATTCAACGTATTTAATAGCAAATATGTCGCAGTCGTCGCTACAATTGAACAAGAATGGATCAGTTCAGTACTGTGTAGCTAAAAAACTAAATATGAAAGATGAAAACAACAAAGTTCAAACACTTACCTTATGGACTGTCGCGCTGTCGTCGTGTTCCGAACAATCCACAATCTGTCCTGTACAGTCATCCCTGCTCGTCTGGCCATCATAGGAACAATTACAGCTACGGACTCTAGATTTTGCTCCAACTGACCTAGTGTCAAACATGAATATCTGAGTCGTACACATATATAGTTGTGTCAGCAAAAATGATCTCCAGCGTAACATAGTACTTATTGATGCATCCTCTCCCCCTCCATAGATAATCACAATGACTCTAATGTCTCATCATGCCAAAAATGTGGGTGACCCTAAGCTGACATGTTGACATTTCAACTAGTTAGTTAACGATCATGTAAACAGATTTCAAACTACGTATAATATAAATCACAAATGCATAATACTTACCCGAGGATCGTCGATGAAAGTCGATAACTGTTTTCCAGCAGGACATCCGCCCGCTCGCGACGATCTCCAATGATACATCCGAGGGCATCGTGTCTCCACTCGCTTCGCGAAGCGGGCCCCCAGTGCAGGGACTGTCTCATACAACCAAATCTGCTACATATACACTTATTCATAAATGTAATATGCTAAAACTTTAACTTTAATTATATTAAACATTTACCTGTAAGGGTAATCCATATGTATCGTATTTACGCATTGACCCCATGGGCCTCAAGTGTAATCTGGTGAAGACATGAACGGTGTCTTTGTAGCATCTCCGGTTCCATGGTTAGTTGTTGAATGCATTGATGTCGTCAACAACTTCCAAATGAAAAATGTTGATGGCAGTTTTCTTGTGATGACACCTCATCACACTCTCGAGGATGTAGACTAGCCCAAGTTTCAATCTATCTAGCATCTGGTCGCACCCCCTGATCGGGATCATTAACTTGGGTAGATGCACCGACCTATGTCCCTGGAAGTACGTCTCGCACAACCTATTGCTTCTCTCAATGGCTGCATCGTCGTCCGTAATCCTCAATTCAGTGATCAAGCTAAACTCATAAATCGAGAAACTGACGACATTACCCCCGAGGTCGAAGTAGAGGGAATCGTCGTTGACTGGCTTCAGAAGCTGACATAGAAGTGTATCGATGATCTGTCCTGAGTACTGTACCTTTCGCATATGGTACAGTGACCACAAAAAGGATTGTTGTAGCATATCTCCATGATTATCATCAAGTAGCTTCAACACCGCAGTAAAGCTCTCAAAGTTACTGTTCCAAGTAGCTTTCCCCACCATCCGTTTCAACTCCTCATCTAAATGATATTCCATCCTACAAAAATTTAAATGTTAGAACATTGAACAAGAGATAATAAAGTAACGCATAATCTAAAAAAATCAAGATAACCAAATTCTAACTACCATACAATACGCAAGACATTGATGCTAATAACAAAATAAATTCAATACAAATTTAAAAATTAAAATAATTTAGTTATATAGAAAATTAATCTTGTATATTACATTTGAAAAATATATTTACAAAAGAAATTTCAAATTAAATACATTTTAAAAAAAATTAAAGAATATAAATATTATTTAAATAAATTAGAAAAAATTAAAGATTATTTCATAAAAAAATAAAAGGAACAAAATAAATTGTTAATTTCGGACAACATTATCTATTTAATTATTAAATTATATAAAAAAGACAATTATAAAAATTAAATAAATAAATAACATAATTATTATTTAATCAAATTAAAATAAATTAATTATAAATAAATTAATCCTGTAATCATTTGAAAAATATATTTACGATCAAAAAATTTCAAATTAAATACATTTTTAAAAAATTTAAAGAATATTTATATTATTTAAATAAACTTGAAAAAAAATCAAAGATAATCATAAAAACAAAAAAAAAGGAACAAAATAAATTGTTAATTTTAGATAATATTCAATTATTAAATTATATAAATAAAAGACAATTGTATATATAACAAAATTGCAGACTGTCAAGTCCCAGATTGTTCACAGTCCATGGCCCAACTGTCAACAGTCGGATCGACCCAATTGTTAACAGTCACCGTCTTTTACTATCTTTTCGTCGGAAATCGCTATTGTCGACGATGGAGAGGTTCAAAAATTACAAAAAATTCACATTTTTTACTCCAGCATGATCCACAATTTAACTACTCATGCATCTTCATCTAATTAAACGAATAAACGTAAAATAATTCAATTAATGAAAATTGGAACAAAAAAATACAACTTCGTGCGAAAAAAACTAACCGAAATAGTTCGTCCAGTGGTAAATACGTGCTTTTGGTCGTCAATTGAAATCACTATGACGTTGGTGATTTCGACTGGTGGTTGATTGGTCAGTTTTTCTAGCAACTATGGCGTCGATTTTTTTTTTCGATCTATCGGCAAACAACCTGTAGCCTTGAAGGATAAAATCATCATTTTAGTTTAAACTTATGTTTTAACTTTTTTTTTTTCTAATTTATTCTGGGTCAAAGTTCAATCTTAAAATTTGCTACAGAGTTATTTCCGTATATTTCCTGTCCCCATTTAGATGATCGACGAACAGTTTTTTCATTTCAAATCTTAATTACTCATTGATTGGCAGTAGTGTATCCGGGCGTAACTAGATCTGAGTTCTTCGGATTGTAAGGATGCCGGTAGCAGCTTCTGCTATTTATTTCCTGTTTCGACTGGTGGTTGATTGGTCAGTTTTTCTAGCAACTATGGCGTCGATTTTTTTTTTCCATCTATCGGCAAACAACCTGTAGCCTTGAAGGATAAAATCATCATTTTAGTTTAAACTTATGTTTTAACTTTTTTTTTTCTAATTTATTCTGGGTCAAAGTTCAATCTTAAAATTTGCTACAGAGTTATTTCCGTATATTTCCTGTCCCCATTTAGATGATCGACGAACAGTTTTTTCATTTCAAATCTTAATTACTCATTGATTGGCAGTAGTGTATCCGGGCGTAACTAGATCTGAGTTCTTCGGATTGTAAGGATGCCGGTAGCAGCTTCTGCTATTTATTTCCTCAATCTCCGTGGCGATGTTCTTATCAACCGTCTCTATCGTGATGATGTCGGGTTAGTATCCCTTGTCCTTTCGTTTCGCTTATACATGATACATATAACTTGTGAAATTGTCGAGAATATTGTTTAATTTTGCTGTTTGGGGAACTACCCTTTTCTTCATTTGAAAAAGTAATTGACGAAGATGGAGAAAATAGATGGAAAAAAAAGCTAATCGATCTAAGTTGCGTTTGTTTAGCAGTGAAATTTGGATGGAAAAAAAATTTAAATTTCCTTTTCTTTTGCTTTGATTTCGAATGTAAACCTCTAATTTCATGTAAAAATGACAAACGAGGTAACAAAAATATAGAGTTTTTATGCACCTTTCATAGGCTTTCTAAAGTTAACGAACCAGAGATGTGAGTACTGGTTGATTCGTGATATGATTTAGTCTGGGAAAGGGAAACTCAGTTACTATTTATAGGAAGAAAAAAAAAAAATCCTTTTTGGGATAAAAAATTGTAGTTTTCTACAAGTTAAAGATTCAAATGTATAATGTGAAATTGTTAACTACTAATTGGAGTTTTTCTAATTCCATTTCCTCTATAGTAGTTTTTTTCCAATTCTAATAAACCATCAGTTTGTGACATGATGAACGATTTATTACTCAAACTTGACTGTAATGTAGTAATTTAAGTGCTTGGTTTGAGGTACTCAAATTGAAGAATCATTGGTCTTATTTATCAGTCAACTTATTTGTTAAAATTTTGCAAACTAAAGAAGAGACCCTTAAGGGAGAAGGGAACGAGGAAGTTCCTGCTTGTTTCTCTTATATTTTTATCATAAGTTACAGACGGAAGGCTTTAAAAACTATCCAACAATTGGTCTCTTGTTTGGAGCTTGTAAATTTTAAATGGAAGCTGTATGCTTTTTAGTTTTGGGGATTGCATATCTCTGTCATTTCCTTAAACAGTTCGATGTGATGGTTCTCATTGACAAGAACCTATCAATCTTTCCTTTACTTTTACTCTTTTGACCCTTGGGAAAATGAAGCTGGTGAGCACTGAGCAGTAAATTATCCCATTTGTCTTCATGTATCTTTAAAAAACTCACTAGTTCTCTTCTCTTTCCATTTATCTTCATTCAAATGCACTATTAATATGCCTAACTCAATGAAAATTTCTGTAGAGTGTGACCTTGTTGCTAGTTTGATTAGTTTCATCAATTTTACTCGATCAAGTTGCTGAGAGATTTTAGAAGCTTTTCTAGAGTTTGCTTCTGATTGTTTAACTTAAAGCACTCGTTGAATCTGTTTCTCTATCCCTCCAATGTTTGCTCTCTCTCTCTGATATTGAGGTCAAGTTAATCTTCTGGAAATGTCAATTCGTGCGACGTCTTTAAGCCTGTATTTGTCTTGAGGGGAAGGGAAGAGAAAATTTAAAACTTCTACCTCTAGAAACTTAAAATGTGATGCAATTACTGAACATTTCTGATGAGGACATCCATTTTATTTATTTTCTAGTCGGACTCTTATTTATGTGTGGACTCTTAATTATGTGGACTTGGATAATGGGCTCGGCCCTTTCTCTTTCGGTTTCTTTGGGGTTTGTTTTGCTATTTAAATCTAGTTTTTTATGTAATTGAAACAGTTGATGAATGAATAAATTTTTGGTGGCTTGTGGCAAAATTCTCTCCTTCTCCATCTTTCTTCTATTGATTCTTCTACCGTTCTTCCTTTAATCTTTTCTTCATAGGTCTGTTTTCATTCTCCCTTAATTATTCCAGTTGGTCCTGCATCAATTTCCTTCCGTTCTGCTCCAATTGGTTAAAATTTTATTTTCTTTTTTCTTCCCTTTTCTCGAAACTAAAGGGAGATGGTTTCTTGTAATTGCTCTTCTATCAGTTTCTTGAACTGCATTGATTGTCTTATTTTGGGTTTGATTTACCTGCATTTGTTTTACTAAATTTTTCTATGACGTAATGCTTTGTACTCTTACTGTTTGTTTCGCAAAACTAATCAGAGGCAATATGGTGGATGCTTTCCGAACGCATATAATGCAAACAAAAGAACTTGGCATTTGTCCTGTGCGGCAGATTGGGGGCTGCTCTTTCTTTTACATGAGAATCAGCAATGTCTACATTGTGATTGTTGTCAGCAGCAATGCTAATGTTTCTTGCGCATTCAAGTTTGTTGTTGAGGTATCCTTAATGCTGAAGCATATAATTCTGAATATACTTGTGTTTGAAAATGAAATTCTCATCCTATTTATGGTAATTGTGCTTGAAGATTGTGGTTTCAATAATCTTATTATATGCGTGCTGAGGAGTTTTGAAGATGCTTAAGGCATCATTATTTTACTTCATTCCTTGTATTCAAGTTTCAAGTGCCTAAAATTTAGTTTGATCCATCCTCCTTCCTTTAACTTGTTATTCAAACCAAGGCTTTGACCTGCACCAACTTTGAATCTTTACCTTTGAGTTCATTTTGAGTGTGAACAGTGCCCATTTCTTTAAACTGGTGCTTTTTTGGGTGAAGTGTATGATTTCGCTTATTATATAAACATATCTCTTATTTTTATTTTGCCCTTCTACCAACCTTTTTTTTTTTTTTTTTTGCAGGCAGTTGCATTATTTAAATCTTATTTCGGTGGTGCTTTCGATGAAGATGCTATCCGCAATAATTTTGTTTTAATATATGAACTGTTGGATGGTATGGCACTTTTGAGAGTATTTACTAGATCTTGTTTTATCGATACCAAACTTCTTCTTTTGTGTTTAACTTCTACTTTTAATAAAAATGCAAGTATATGAGCTGTCAAATTTAACTTTGAATGTAATATATATATTTTTAGAGGTATGTCACTGTCAAGACATATATATCACTCAGCAAGATGAGGGTTTGTTTAGTACCTATGAGCGTTTTCTGAAACATAATTTACCTTGGTCGTCTTAGCTATTTGTGCCTGTCTTTCCTTCCTGGAATTTGATCTACATTTTAGCATCATTTGGCACACAATGATTACATCATTGGATGCACGGTAGATCTGTTGCCTGTGTTCATATCTACAATCTGTTAAAGTATAATTCCGCACAAAGAAGGCTATTTTACTCATTAAGTCACTCAAATGTTCTTTCAAGAGGCGGTTTCACAAGTATAATGTTTTCTCCAATCCTTGAATAAGAGTCTAATCATTGCATTTGAACTGCAGAAATAATGGATTTTGGTTACCCTCAAAACCTTTCCCCTGAAATCTTGAAGCTGTACATAACACAGGAAGGTGTACGCTCACCATTTTCATCCAAGGTATATGTTTGTCACGACTCACCATTTTATATGTAAATAATCATGGAAATAACAATTTGAATAGATATATAATTCTATTCTATTATTAAATTAATTTTGAATTTCATATGGAGGACTATTGATTGATATTACACTCATGATGGTTATTACAACCGGTCAATCATAAATTACCCTCTTATTTTAGCCAAAAAAATTAAGAGTGCATTATTTTATATGGGTATTATAATCCTAAACTACTCATTTTAATTTATTTTCTTAGAATTACTATTTGCCTCTAAGGTTAGAAAAAATTCCTACTTTTCTAATCTTTTTTTAACAGACAAATATGACTACTATTTTTGAACAAATCAGGCATTGATTATTATATTTACAATAATTGAGTTTTTGGATCTCTGAATATATTTTCCCCCATTTCCTCTACAATTCTTCTCTCTCCCCCCTTTTTTGTCTCCCACTTTGGTGCATCAACTATCCTGACTACTTTTGCCTTGCACAATAAAAAAAAAAAAAAAAAAGCCTGCAGACAAACCAGTTCCAAATGCAACTTTGCAAGTAACTGGTGCTGTTGGCTGGCGCAGGGAAGGTCTTGTCTACAAGAAGAATGAGGTAGCCTTTCCCACCGATACTATTACTATCGCATGTTACAATTGTCACACTTTATACTAGATTAAGTTATATTTCTTGACAGGTATTTCTTGATATCGTCGAAAGTGTTAATCTTCTTATGTCTTCTAAAGGTAAAATATCTTGTTTACGAATAATTTTAGTTGATGCATTTGTACTTATGTTTCTACTTCTACATTCCACAATTACACGCTTGTTTCCTTGTTTCCCATTTAACAATTTTAGGTAGTGTTCTACGTTGTGATGTAACTGGGAAGGTTCTCATGAAATGCTTCCTTTCTGGAATGCCTGACTTGAAGTTGGGCTTGAATGATAAAATTGGACTGGAGAAAGAGTCGCAGATTAAGTCCCGTCCTACTAAGAGGTAGGTTCTAATTCATCTGTTAAATCCAGTAAATTACTTAACTTATAAAATGGTTGGGTGTGAAAGTCAAATTTACTGATATGACATGTCAATGCCAGCATAGGAATGTATTATTCCGTTTGTTTTTATTGAATCAGAAGAGAATAGTTAATGCTGAAATGGTCACTGTATACTACATCAGTTGTTCTATGAGTATAAACGTGAAGTTTGTGAGATCTATGCCAAAATCCTTATGTTTTCGAAGTTTCACATTCTTGTTGGAGTGTACCATTGTATATCAACCTATCAGTATCTAGATGATTTACTTTATAGGTTACTAACATTATTAGGTCTAGCAAGTTCTTTGATAGAACCTTATAGCAAGAAGAATAATGGAAATTGAAATGGACTTAGGCAATTAACTGGAAGAAAGTAGAAATTACAAGTTCTAGGGCTATTAGAGAGGCCCGGTCTCTTCCATCTAACAGAATTCCCAGTGTTCAGATGATCCCAAACAACCCACCACCCCACACATATATTGGAATTCTCCTAATACATACTATTACTCATTTAACCCTAACTGAAGGCTAATTGTAACTGGATTATGCACCTCTATGTTGACTGTGCATCAATTCCTCTTCCCACTCCTCATGTAAGTAAATCGGATTGGGGGTTTATCATTTCCCGCCACCCCAAAATCCACCTTGTCCTCAAGGTGGAAACTGGGAAACTGCATTCTTACCGTGTCGAAGGATTCCCAGGTTGCCTCAAAATCTGGTAGATTCATCCATTTGATTAATACCTCAGGTCCTGCAGCCTGGTTCTTGAGGTTTGGACGGACATCTAACACTGCCTCAGGCTCTAGCATGAACTCTCCCGTGTCTGAAAGCTGTGGAGGGAGTACAGAGGTTGGCTGTAACCCCTCGATGGCCATACGAAGCTGAGATACGTGAAATACAGGATGAATGGCTGTGGTGACTGGAAGTTTCAGCTTATAAGCTACCTGCCCGACCCTGGATTCCACCTCAAACGGGCCGTAGTAATGTGGAGAAAGCTTCGTACATGGCTGTTTAGACGAAGACTTCAGGTGATAAGGTCGAAGTTTAAGGTATACCAAGTCGCTGACCTCAAACTGAACATCTCTACGACTGCCATCTGCTATCCCTTTCATTCTCAACTGTGCCCGGGTAAGCTGTACCTTTAACTCCTTCAGGGCCTCGTCATGCTCCCATAACAACTGTTCCACTGCAGAGTTCGGAGTCATCCCTCTTTCAAAAGCCAAAATCTGGGGGGGATCACGACCATAAACAATCTGGAGGGGGGTGCGCTTGGTAGCAGTATGGAAGGAGGTATTATACCAAAATTCCGCCGATTGCAAATACTGGCTCCAGACCCGTGGCTTACCTGATGCAAAACACCTTAGATATGTTTCCAAGTAGCGGTTCACGCCTTCCGTCTGCCCGTCTATTTGTGGGTGGTAGGTGGTGCTATATTTGAATGTGTTCCTTGTGCCTTGAACAACGCAGCCCAGAAGGTGCTCATAAAAATCTTATCTCTGTCTGACACAATAGAGCGTGGTGTACCGTGTAGGTGAACCACTTCACGTGTGAATGCTTCAGCTACGGTGGGGGCGGTGAACGGATGCCGTAATCCAATGAAATGCCCATACTTACTCAGACGGTCCACAATCACCAAGATTGTATCGACCCCTCCTGATCGAGGCAGACCCTCGATGAAATTCATTGAAATATCCTCCCAAACTAAATCGGGAATGGGTAGTGGCTGCAATAATCCCCTAGGTGATAAGGCCTCATATTTGTTTTGTTGACACACTGCACAACTTGCCACATAATCCTTCACTGCTTTCTTCATCCCCGGCCAGTAGACCTCTTGGGATATCCACTTGTATGTCTTGAGAAAGCCCGAGTGTCCCCCAACCTTGGAGTCGTGACACTCTTGCAGAATGAGAGAGACCAACGGAGAGTCTTTAGGCAAAACAACCCTACCATGATAACGCAGTACTCCATTAATCAAGTCATATCCTGGTTTAGCTTTGGTTTCGGACTGCAGGTCCTTAGCGAGCCTGCCCAGAATGGCATCTGCCTCAACCTCCCTCTTAATTTCCTCCAACTGTCTTTGGAGTAGATAATGCCAACAGACTCATTGACGGTTGGACTCGGGAAAGGGCATTTGCGGCTTTGTTTTCCAACCCCGGACGATACTGGATGTCAAACTGATAGCCCATTAATTTAGTCAACCATCTCTGGTGATCCTCCCCTACCAAGCGTTGCTCAAAAAGAAACTTCAGGCTTCGTTGGTCTGTCCGAACCACGAAACGTTGCCCTATTAAGTAATGATGCCATTTCTGAACAGTGAATACAATAGCCATCAGTTCCCTTTCGTAAACTGACCTCTGTCTGGCTGTTTGTGGCAGTACCTTGCTAAAATAAGCAACCGGGTGGCCGTTCTGCATTAGGACCACCCCTAAACCTTGGCTCGAGGCATTGGTTTCAACTACAAATTCTTGTGAGAAAAATGGTAGTGCCAGCATAGGGACGTTAGTCATGGTCGTCTTGAGGCTCTCAAAAGCTGTCTTTGATACTTCATCCCAATGAAATCGATCCTTTTTAAGTAATTCTGTCAAGGGCCAACCAACCTTGGCATATCCCTTCACAAAGCGCTGATAATAACCTGTGATGCCCAAGAATCCTCGTAATTCTCTGACATTTCCCGGCCGCGGCCAATTGACCATTGCTTCAATCTTCGACCCATCTGCAGCTACACCTTTTTCCGATATCACATGACCTAAATATTCAATTTCTAGCTGACCGAACAGACACTTTTTCTTGATGGCGTACAACTGATGATCTTCTAATGTTTCTAGAACCACACCCAAGTGCTGCAAATGATCCTCCATTGACTGGCTGTAAACTAAAATGTCGTCAAAAAATACTAGCATGAACCTTCTCAAAAAAGGCTTGAACACCTCATTCATTAAGTGTTGGAAAGTCGCCGGTGCATTCGACAGCCCAAATGGCATGACTAAAAACTCGTAGTGTCCTTCATAAGTGCAGACGGCAGTCTTGGGGACGTCCTCCGGCGATACTCTCTCACAGTCCCCTCTTGCTTCAGTGACAGGAATTTCTCCAGTAAGGTGCCCTCCTGTGTTGGTCTAAACCTGGCAAGCAGGAGGATTTTTAGGCCCTCCCACTTCACAATTGGCTGCCGGCCACTTTCTCAGAGAAACCATGCGAGAGCTTCATCTTCATCTTCAAAACACACTCCGACGGCCTCAATTTTCTCCCAGTTCGTAAACTGGTTCATGTTAAAGTATCTTTCGGCGTGAAAAATCCAACCATCCGGATCCTCTCCGTTAAAAATTGGCATTTCCAACTTGCGATTGCGATTCTCCATTCTCCCTACACCCTCGACAACCCCCAGTTCCTGAGCCTTGGGTGGTCCTTCAGAGCTAGCAGTGGGATCCGTCGAAGTGGATGAGACTCCTTCTTCCTTCCTGTCACGCTCTTGGCCGTCCCACCCCTTCATCACAATTTCCAGCCTCTCTAAAATCACAGCCATATCCCTCTGAAGTTCAGACTTCATCACCTCCATTCTTTCCTGCAAGGCCGTCGACCCTTGTTTCCAACACTCCCACTCGATCGGAGACTGTCATCTTCCTAGTTCGGTGCTCTGATACCAGAATTGATAGAACCCTGCAGCTCGAGTGACAATTATAGCCAGAAGAATAATGGAAATTGAAATGGACTTAGGCAATTAACTGGAAGAAAGAAGAAATTACAAGTTCCAGGGCTATTAGAGAGGCCCAGTCTCTCCCCTCTAACAGAATTCCCAGTGTTCAGATGATCCCAAACAACCCACCACCCCACACATTTATTGGAATTCTCCTAATACATACTATTACTCATTTACCCCTAACTGAAGGCTAATTGTAATTGAATTATGCGCCTCTATGCTGACTGTGCATCAATTCCTCTTCCCTCTCCTCGTGTAAGTAAATCGGATTGGGGGTTTATCATTCTTCCTTTTACCTGTTTCACAAATCTTGCAAATCTATGTTAATCATATTTGGGATTCGTGAAATAAACATTTCATGTACATAAACAGTTTTCTCATTTGTTTTTGAAAATTCGCCAGTGCACACACACACATACACATATAACCCTTGTTTGAGCCTCATTCTTTTGGAAGAATACATTTTTCAATAGTGTTTTGACATCATTTCAATTATACATTTTTCAATAAAATAATATTCCACACAACTTCAAAACTTTTCCTTATTTTTTAACCACGCATTTTTCATCAATACACTATTCAAAAATTCATTCTTCCCAAAAAAATGGGGCTCAAACAAGGGTATAATATATTCTTGCCATTATTATAAATGTCGATGAATTCTCAACAAAATTAATGTGCGCTCTCGAAGGTCGTTTAGATGATTTCCAGTGGGTCATATGAAGTTTTTTTGTATAGTTCAAAATACTTGCCTTTTGTTTGTCTAGACCTTTTAAAACTGTAATGGGAGTAATGTTTCTGTCACTAAACCAATCATGTTAATCATGACTTATTTATGCTACCATTAGCTTGTTATATTTTCCCACACTTGAACTTGCTGCCATAATACCACCCGTATTAGATGTAGATTTCTTTATCTTCTTTGAAAGATTATTTTCAATTATTTTAGCTTGGTTTACTTGTTAGTGATGTGCAATTGTCTAAGTTTGTCAGAGTGAACTGCCTAGTGACATCTCACAGGCAGTTAAGTTATATATAGCTGATTTGTGAGTGCAATAAAGCGACATCTAGGCAACAATCAATATATCTTTCACGTCGTTTGTCTTTTTTTGAACACCACTACTATGCATCAACGGATCAAAATCTAGCCTCTGCTTGGTTTAGATATATATATATATATAATTTTTTTTTTTTTTTTTTTTTAGATTTTGATAAAAAATGAAGAAATTTGTGGTTGAAAAGTTGATAAAAGATGTGGGTCCCATGAAATATGTGGTTGAAAATGAATTTGAGAAAAAAATAAGTTTTAGAAAAATGGGGGCAAACAGGCCTAATAGAACGAAATCTAGGCAACAATCAGTATATCTTTAACGTTGTTTGTCTTTTTTGTACGCAACTATGCATCAAATGATCAGTATCTAAATGATTTACTTTATGGATAGCTTACATTAATGTTGAGCAAGTTTTTAATTTTGCCTTTTCTGTTTATTCTTCCTGAGTAGTTTGAGAGTGCATGATTGGTTCCAAACTTTTTCTTAACTTTATTATTATTTGTGTTGCCTGTGCAGTGGAAAGACAATCGAGCTTGATGATGTTACTTTCCACCAATGTGTAAATCTAACAAGATTCAACTCAGAAAAGACCGTTAGTTTTGTTCCTCCGGATGGTGAATTTGAATTAATGAAGTAAGATGGTGTTCTATTCTTTCTTTTTTTATGTGTTAACAATCAGGTTAATGGAGAAGTAAAGCAGTGCATATATTTTTGTTCTTTTTCTTTCTGACAAGCCCTTCCATGGACAAACTGCCTAGCTTGTGCATTACATTTATATCGCATGACAGTCCATTAAAGATATTTACTCAGCTTTCACATCCCTCACTTTTTATTGTTGACATGTCATAGTGGAATAGTTGTAACATCTCTCATCAATTTTGCTGATATAAGGGTGATAGAGTAGATTTTCTTCTCTTTTGAGCCGTGATGATCAGGAAGAATGAGAATGAGAATGAGAACATATATTGTGCTTTATGGTCTTGTGGATAGGTTGAAAGACGCTATCATCATAACCAGTTCGTTGATGGTCTTCAAATTAATTTGGTACCTGTAGCTTTTATTGGATGTATCTTTGAATGTACATTTATGAATGTGATGCGAATCAGGACATTTATGAATGTGATGCGAATCAGGCTTCTGAACTCAATGTTTCATTGTTCTGCTAGCATGATAAATGATTCAGTGCAGCAGCTTCATTAAAGTTGAATCCATGGGGGTTTAACTGGATTCGTGTGCAGGATTGATGTGGACTATTATAACAAAGGGTTTTCTTCTGTAAAGATCTGATCTCTTGGGCAATTTTCATGGGAGATTGTATACTGTTATTTGGATCGATTTAATCCAAAGGTTTATTTCACTTCACACAAGGTTGGCTAAAAACTAGTATGAATACAGCTACAGGTTTGGAGTTGTAGAGCAAGCTTAAACAATAGGGTAAATATATTGCCACCACAAATATTATTTATCACACCACAGTATAACTACACCTCAAATAAATTATATTTTTGATAAATGTACTGCATTAAACCCCTGTTTGGTAGAAATTAAAATTAGATTTTAATTTAAGTTAACATCAACAATTAGCCCCCGTTTGGCCCCAATTAATTTCCATTCTATTACATTTCATTTCTCTCTTTTATTTTCAATTACAAAATCTTTCATAAAATAATATTACACGTAAATCGAAAACTTTTATTTCTTTTTCTACCACTCATTTAAAAAAAAAAAAAATACTATTCTATCCATTGTCATTTCTACAAAATGGAGGCTTGATTTTAACTACATATTTTATGAACTAGATTTTAATCCTCAACCAAACAGGGCTAATTTTACAATTATAGTCCTCATCAAATTAAAACTTAAAAGATTGTGGTGTGCATCTCTTCTCAATTTTACCTTTCTCCCATTCTGTCCCCATCTCACGGCCATTCTAATTCTGCCCATGGAAAAACTTTTCCCTCTGCCACCACCGATAAGTCCCCCAACCCCCCATTAATTCTTCCTAGAAAAAAGTCAATCTTCTCCCACCTCACCAGCAAGCTCAAATTTCTAATTCTACCCAGAAAACATACCTCCCCCTAGAGATGGCTACTGTCCGGTTCGGGGTCGGTTTGGCCAAAATCATCACCGAACTACCAATTTTTTGGCCATACCATAACCACACCATAACCACGAAAATCGGTTCGGCTCAGTTCGAGTCGTTAATAACCATGAAAATAAATTATTTTTAATTGGTCCATCCGTCGAATTGAAATGAAAAATGTATGAAAAAAAGTCAATGAAAACAAAAACATGATACTAAGTTAATATAGCAAACAACATTCCAAATGAAAATGCAAAAAATATCCCAATTCTCAAATACAAAATTCAAATTTAACAAACAATATTCAATAACTCAAAAAATTCCAACCTCAATTCATATTCAATCTTCATTCTTCCCTACAACTTTTACTAGCATACGTCAAAACTCAAAATTGATTCCTATATAGTATATAAGAAATGTAAGTATAGTAATAAATCAATAATCCATAATGTTCTAAACTGAAGATTTAAACAAAAAAAATGTACGTCTTCGTTAACATCCTCGTCACCAAACTTTGCACAAGCTCCAGAATATGATGAAGGAGCAGAATTTTCTACACACAAAAGAGGAAAAAATCAGTAATAAAAGAAAGTGCATGAATAACAAATTTAAAACAATAAATCCTACCATGAATATCAGTTCAAAGCCAATCTCGAGCACACATTAAAAAGTCTTCGGGTGAAGCCTATTTCTATGTGGGCTCACAAATCTACTACTTGTACTAAATGCTGACTTGGATGCAACAGTAGATACTAGAATGGCTAATAAATCTCTTACAACCTTCTGTAGAGTCGGATATTTTATTGAATTTGCTTTCCACCATGTCAATAGATCAAAACCGTCCACCCTTCGCAATATTGGCTCATCTAGAAAAATATTGACCTCTGTTTTTACATGATCAGTAGTAATCGAAAGGCTAACAAATGTATCAAAACCAGCCACGCGAGAATGATTTCCAAATTGTAGTAGACGACTTTGATTGTGAAGATGATGAAAACAAAGATGTATTTTTTGTCGAACGATGTGGTCTCATGTACTCTTTGAGCAACTTATGACAAAATGCTCTAACATTTTCAACCTCTTCCTGAGCTTCATCTCCAAAAATAAAAGGAAAATAGTATTCAACTAGTTTCATCTTGTATTTAGGATCCAATATAGTTGCAACAGCCAGAATTTCATGCATGCCACTCCAATATTTATCAAACTTTTCCTTTATGCTTGACGCCATCCATTTGACTTCATCACAAGATGATGTGCTCCAATCACGGATTGCCAACCTTATGTCACAAATATTGGGAAAGTACAAATTGGTAGTAGGATATTTTTTTGTTGAAAATAATTTAGTCGCTTCATAAAATATCTCCAACTTATCACAAATCTTCGTAACCAATTCCCAATTACTCTCACTCGGTACACTTCTGTAATGAGGCTCTCTTTGCCTTAGTTGAGGAAAAGTTCTTTGTAAATCAAAGCAGTATGAATCATTAGATATGTGGAGTTCCATCAAATCTTGCAATCCAATACTAACTTTTTTTCACGAGGGATTTTCATTTGTCGTGCAACTGCCTCAAATGTTTCAACTCTTTTTGGTGTTGCTGACCAATATGAAACACTATCGCGAATTCTCTCAACGCTCGGGCTAATGATATCCAAACCATCATTTACTATCAGGTTCAATATGTGTGCACAACATCGCAAGTGAAAAAATTCACCATTCAACAATAAAGAACCAAGAGAAAGCTTATCTAACATAATTTTAATCATAGTGTCATTCGTGGTGCAATTATCAACAGTCAATGTGGACAATTTCTAATCAATATTCCAATTAAATAGACAATCCATTAACACAGTAGACAATGACTCAGCAGTGTGGGGACAAGGGACGTATATAAATCTGTATGGATATGAAAAAAGGTTCATAAGATAACTTAAAATTTCAAAAGATATACAATAGTAGCTTAAAGTCTATTTTATAAAACTATTGTACCTCAAAATTCGGCTATGAAGCCTCCAAGAATCATCTATGTAATGTGTAGTGATAGCCATAAATCCCTTCTTTTAATTGGATGTCCACATATCAGTGGTGATTGCTATTCTACTATTGGTCCTCTCTAACAAGCCCATTACTTTTGTTCTCTCATAATCATAAATTTTCAAGATATCAGCCTTGATGATATTACGAGAAACAACTTTAATAATAGTTGAATTGTATTACAAAACTTTCTAAATCGAGTATGCTCAACCATTGAAAGAGGATATTCATGTAGGATGATCATATTTGCATGTTCTGTCCTACCTTTCTCTTGATCAAAATTAAACGCTTGCATTGCAATTCTACCACTAGGTTCTTTAAATTGATTTAAAAACATCTGTTTGACATCCTTCTGACCTCGAAGAGGACATCTATTTAAATAAGCATGTAAATGACTTGTCATATTTTTTTACTCACCCCTTAATTGTTTGTTGCATTATTTGCAAATTGCTTTGGGCACATTATTAATTCTCCGTAGCTTAAAATACTGCCACACTGAAGAGGTCAATTTTCTTTTTCTATTTTCCTCAGTCGTGTCCTCATCATCACCTAAATCTATATGAATAGGATTTGCATTTACCTCACTTGGACTTCGTGAAGTAACTGGTGTGCTTGTTGATGTATCCTCTTGAATGCCAGTAGCGGTATCTCCAACTTGAATTGAAGCAGAAGTACTTCCAATTGAAGTGGGGGAGTAGGAGCGGAAGATTCCGATCCCTGGCATGACATCTAATTTCCAGAAAAATAAACAAATCAACAAACTCAAAAACTTAGGCATTCATTAATTTCATTAGTTGGCAGCCATTATAACGGAATGAGATGCCAGACAATGCATGGAAAATTAAGCAAATCTAGTGTGCTTGTTTGAGCTCGTCTAACTAAGTGCAAAGCAAACCAATGACATGGATTAAGGCTAGGAGGAACGGTTCAATTTTGATCACATTAATATCCTCAAAAATTAATAAACATTTGAGACCAAGAATAGAGTGTCTATTTTAATACCTTCAACTGCAGGAACAACTTCGAACCCAAAGTATAGTAGTTCATAGCATGAAATATTGGGACAAATAATTAAAATTAAATAAATATACACTATTATCAAAATTAAACTTCTATAACTTTATCTTCAAACTATTCTAGAAAAGATGATACACAAATATAATGAGTACTGATTTGAAAATCAAAAAGTTCACTTAAATCAACAATGAACAAAATATTATACCGTCCTATATGTAATATTTCCTGTAGTATATAGTTATTTCTTAGTAGGCAATCAATGCTTGTATAAGAACAAGATTGTGAAATATTTATTTGATTAGGGAATTTCATGAAGTTAATACAAAGAAAAAGATACTCAAATAATTAACATTAAGATTTGCAGTATTTTCTTCAATAACTATTCAAATTCTAAAGCCAAAAATTTCATTTCGTAGAATTAGAAAATCTAGACCCTTAGGCCAAAAATCATTAAAGAGGAGAGAAATTAAAGTTATTTATCTCTAAAGCAGCCACCAATTGTAAAAAACTGAAATTTCTAGATATAATTTAGCCAAATCTTGTGCGAAATTCACAACAAATTCAAATTATCAAAAGAGAAGATGAGAAGCTCACCAGTGGTAAAAGCTTGATGGTTGAAGGAGAAGAAAATATTGCAAATGGACGGAGGCGAACGAACGACAGTCAGCAACTCCGCGTTCGGCAAACCCAGAAGACAGAATCTTTGAAGTGGTGAAGCGGCTGCTGAGAATTCCCCAATAAAAGTATAATACGTTTGTGCTTTAATAGTTAATACTGCCTTTGTGTTACATTGTTATGGTTGGCTACTTAGGCTTAAATATAATTGTTAACGTGCCAGACATTTTGGGCCAAAGAAATTAAGTAATTAACATAGAAAAAATAAAAAAATTATGGAAAGCCCAATTATTATTAATTTATTATTTTTTCTAATGGTTAATTGGTTCGGTTCGGGGCGATGGCGTAAATACCATACCCGCCCCGCCCCCGACCCGAACCGGTTCAGTAAAATCAAATACCATATCTGTCCCATTGCACCATCGGTTCGATTTTTTTGCCCCCATTCGATTCGGTTAACCGCGATTTTTGATTTTGACGGTTCAAATTGCCATACCTACCTCCCCCCGCTTCAAGCCTCATCCTCACCCAATCTAACCCCATTTCTAATTTTGCCCACACGAATTTATCTCACCCATACCTACTGCACATTAATTATTATAATTATTTATGATCATCAAGTTTTACATATATCCCAAAATAAATAAATAAAATAAACAATCTACCATAATCACCACTATAAAAGAAAAAACTAATATAGTGAGGGAAAAGAAAAAACCTCCTGCGATGAAGAAAAAAGGTTGTACGAAAAAAAGAGCAGTTTTAACATTTGTTGTGGAAACAAAAAAAATTAGTTTGAAAAAAATATTTAAAAGAATGTTTATTTATGTAATTTTATTTAGGGCTATTTAAGTAAATAAAACAAATATTTAAAATTGTTGTGTAATAAACAAATTTTTTAGTGGGAATATAAGTACTCGTAACAATTATATGGAGTGCAACTCTACCATCTCATTTTTTGAAGTAAATTATAGAAGTACAATATCAAATTCTCTTAATTTAAGGGGAACACAATGCTTTAGATATCGTTTCTTATGAAAACTTATTAAGCCCCCATTTGGTAACAATTTTTCATCCAAAAAATCAATTTTTTGACTGTTATTTCCTTATTCCAATTGTCATTTTTGACTTCTTCACTCATAGGTGGGACCCACTTCTCCCTAACGGTAAAAAAAATCAATTTTCACAATCACTACCGAACAGGCCCTAAGTCAAAATCAGAATGCTTCATTTCTTTGGAGTAGAAGAAAGTGTACCTTAGGCTAATGATGGAAAAGTTACATTGTTTGAAGTAAATTATAGAAGCCAAATATTAAATTCTCGTGTTTTGAAGGGAACACCATATTTTACATATAATTTCTGGGGATACTTATTGAGGTAAGATTAGAACTTTTCGTTTCCTGAGGAGTAGAATATACCTTTGGCATTGGAATGGAAAACTATTATAGACAAAGAGAGAAAAAATTGATTATTTATTTCTCAATATATTTTTTTTGATAGGTAATCAAATAATTTTATTACTTAAAAGAGAGTATACGGGGGGTGTACAATGACAAATAACAATGGGGACAATGGATCCCCTTGTCTTAAGCCTCTACTGCTCCGGAAATAACTCTCAGGTGTTCCGTTGACCAAAATTGAGAATGAAACAGTAGAAATACAGAATTGAATCCATTTACACCATTTATCCACAAAGCCACAGCGCCTGAGCATATACAACAAGAAACCCCAATTTACATGATCGTAAAAGCTTTCTGAATAGCTAGCTTACAAAGCATCCCTGGGGCCCTTAGGCGTATTCTTGAATCTATGCATTCATTCGCTATAAGCACATAGTCCAAAATCTGACGCCCTTTTACAAATGTATTTTGAAACTTGGACACCACTTTTCCCAGCACGTCCTTTAATTTGTTTGCCTGAACTTTCGAAATAATCTTATACACCCCGCTGACAAGGCTAATGGGACGAAAGTCCTTAATATCAGTTGCTCTCGATTTCTTAGGGATGAGCACAATAAATGTGGCGTTAGAACTTCTCTGGAATCTGCCACGTTCAAAAAAATAAGATAGTATTGACAATGTCCGGTCGAACCACATCCCAGCACGCTTTGTAGAATGAGAACGAGAAACCGTCCGGTCCCGGAGCCTTTTCATCGTTCATGCTGAAAACAATCTCCTTAATTTCATCCTCCCCAAATGGTCTTTCCATCTATCGGGCATCATCCTCAGTGATTGTAGAAAAGTGCAATCCCTCCAATTCTGGCCTCCATTCAAATTGCTCCCGATAGAGGTTCTGATAAAAATTCACCAGTTGGCTTCCAATTTGTTGTGGTTCCTCATAAGTAACCCCGTCCACCTCCAAAACTGTGATGGAGTTGTTCCTCCTATTAGAATTGGCGACCCTGTGGAAGAATTTAGCACATTTATCCCCCTCTTTCAACCAAGTAACTCTAGATTTCTGTCGCCAATTAATCTCCACCATCTCCACCATCCTCTCCATCTCTTCCTTTAATACTCTATGTCTCTCCTTCTCCTCCCCGGTCAACCCCTGACTCTCCTCCCGCCTATCCAATTCCTCTATCTCTGACAGACATTGATTTTTACTGCAGTTAACATTGCCCACAACTTCCTCATTCCATTTCTTTAAGTCCCCTTTCAACGCCTTTAGCTTCTGGTTCAATACAAAACAGGGAGACCCACTGACTTCATAGGAAGTCCACCACGTCTGTACTCGCTCCCTAAAACCTTCAACTTTCAATCACATCTTCTCAAACTTGAAAGGTCTTCTTCCACCACCCCTTCTATTCCCCGATAACATAATTCCAATGATCCGAGTATACCCTCCCCAATTTTCTCTGCTCCCCAATTTTCTCTGAGTGACATCTGAATATTAGACTCCCATTCCCCACAAATCAAGAACCTATCAATACGAGACAAAACGGGTCGATCCCGATTGGATGACCAGGTAAAATCTTCCCCAATCATGGGTAAATCCACTAACAAATTCTCCCTAATAAAATCTGAGAACTCCTCCATTGCCCTAGTTAGTCTCCCACCACTCGACCTCTCCGAAGGAAATCGAATCACATTGAAATTACCCCCAATACATGTAGGAAGATTCCACCAAGCCCTCATTCCAGCCAGTTCATTCCACAAACCCACTCTACTGTCATCAGAACTAAGCCCATAAACTCCTGTGAACATCCACCGAAATCCATCCTCACAATTTTTGAAAGAAATCGATATAGAGAACACCCATATACTTGCCTCCTTCATCTCAAGCACTCTAGTGTCCCACATCACCAATACGCCTCCTGAAACCCCTGATGACCCCAAAAACTGATATCCTACATGATCTCCCCCTCATAAACTACGAATCACCGCCCTCGAGATAAACTCCATCTTAGTTTCTTGTAGACAAACAAGATTTGCCCCCTATCCCCTTAGCAAATTACGAACACCAAGCTTTTTACTAATCTCATTGAGACCCCTTACGTTCCAGCTAATGAGTTTTGGCATCATTGTAACACTCCATAACCCCTCCCCATTGTTCTTTTCTTGGACTTGCCACCCTTACCAGCATAGTTTACTGACCATTCGAGCCTCTTAAGTTCACGATCACCCTTTCTTCTTAATTTACTTCCATGTGTACTGATGTCTTGTCCCCTATTAGCCTCCAGCTCCTCGAACAATTGTAACAATCTACTTTCATACCCATCACATGACACGCCAACCAACTTACTGAATTCCTGAATTTTTGTAGAACCCAGTTTGAAGGTGGGTGACCAACTCCTGAAGTATCCTCACCCTGATAACCCTCGAGATGATCGAAGGACCGTTCTTTCTCTTCCACCACTGGTATAATGTCACTGTCACTTTCTCCTTTCTTGGCACCACCTACCCATAATACCAAAGCTTTTTCGGTCCCCATATCATTATCTTTTGTCCTCCTATTATAAGTGTTCGTAATCCTTGATGTCTGTGTGGAGTTGTTTTCTTTCACATTGTCCATTGACAATTTCTTCAAGTTCACCATACTAAACTCCCCTTCCTTAGACAGCGGTTCCTTTTCTTGTTCAACTGCAATCCCCGTGTCTACTTCAGTTCTGTTGACCCCCACAAGGTCAACCCCGTCATCGTTTTCATGGTATCCCGCTTCCATCCTCACCTGAGAATCACAATGTTCATCTCCTCCCTGCTTTGCATGTTCTGTAATTGATGGTAGTTCCTCATGAGTCAATCCTGGTACGTGTATTTCACCGGTTTGATCCTCATCCAACTCAACCCCACACTTGTGACAGCGTACCAACTTCATGGGCTCCATTTCAGGCTCGCTTCCAACTAGTCTAAGTAATTCATCTAATGCTCCTTTCAGCTCCTGCGCACGGGTCATTATTTTAGCCCTACTCAAACAAATGTCGTGACCTTCGTTATCACCGACTTTATTTGTCCTTTCCTTTTGCTGTAGCATCCGATGGTTGGCATTCTTCGAGATCTGTGAGTTTGCTGTAATTTCTGCATAAGTCATCCTTTGTCTGTTTCGTTCATTCACCGTTTGTCGTTTGGCCTTATCCCTAACAACAAATGAGTCAACAACTGCTTGAAACACCTGCAAGACCGACGCCCATTCCTCTCCATTTGCACCTTCTGGTATCATGACAACTCCTTTCCTACGCCTCTCGCCATATTGTGCTATCATCAAATATCTGCCTCGACGGTTCACACACCGTTGTGCCAATAAAGCTCTTGAAGACTCGTTGAATTTAAAAACACATTCCTCAAATTCACTTCTCATCCTCAATCTATCTACCATATTCACCATCCAAATAGCACCATATCTTCCCATAAAGATTGAATCCGATAACTTCGAACCCCATTCTGTCAACTTAACAGTGCCAGAATCGTTAATAGATACTGCGAAGTCCTTCGCCTCCACTCTGAAATGATGATTGAATACCATACTACGTACATCCGCCAATTTTTCCCCTGATTGTGTACTAGCAATTCATCAAATGGAGGAACGGACAAGCCGATTGATCTCGAAGCAGCAGGCTGCCGCTGCAGGTTTCCCGGTGGCGGCGCGTGGGGCAGAACACTGGCAAGGGTCGCTGGTCCCTGCTGAGGCCGCCGGTGAGGCGCGTTTCCTTGAAATGTGGCCGGATTTGGCGGAAACGGATGGGTGGCGCTAGGGCTTCCCATAGTAAATTGCGACTGTGTGTGAATGGAGTGGTTGGAGGGGCTGTTTTGTGGTGTGAGGCCAGTTATGTGGTGCCTACCGGACAGTTGGTTGCTGGCGCCGGTACTGTGGAAGTGTGGTGGCTGGGTTATTTTGGATTGTGAGGGGAGCTCCATTTCGCCTCTCACGGGGTAAATCTTGACATTCTTCTCGATATATTTTCAATACAACCTACCTCATACAAAAGTACAATAGCCCGTGGTTGTTCTTTGTTAGGGACGTAAATCATGCAAATGATCCCATTTTCAACTCTCTTTGATAACGTGCTACCCACTTCTATATGTTTGGTTCTATCATGTTGGACTGGGTTAAGTGAGATATTGATAGCTGCTTCTGGCTACTACATTCTATTTCGTGCTTCTCCAGGTTACTAGGTTTTCCCTACAATATTACAATAGCCCGTTCTTTCTTCTATTGCTCCTGCTCAAACAGCATCAGTGAATATTTCTATTTCTTTCTCAATTTTCTTGAACAGCAGTTTTTTCTCGAAGAGCCTTTGGGATATCTTAAAATCTTGTTCCCTGGTTTTAGGTGAGCTTTCTTTGGAGAATGCCCGTGCTGGCTTACCACACTAACCGTGAATGCTATGTTAGGTCTAGTGTGTGATAGGTAAGTTAGCTTTCCAACTAGTTGCTCTGATTCTCCAATATTGTCCGTCATTTTTTAGAATCGATAGGGGTGTCACTTGGTTTACTACCAAGCACAGTTTCAAAACATATTTTCGTTATGAAACACTAGTACCCTTCTTTGATCTGGCTACTTCCATTCTCAAGAAGTATTGTATTTGTCGTAAATTTTTTACTTCAAATTCTGTGGCTAGACGGCCTTTTAGCCTCTCTCAACTGTATTCTTTTCGGTGATGATTATGTCATCAACATAAACGATCAGAATGGTCTTTGTTCCTTCTTCAAATAATCTAAAAAACATAATGTGATCTGATTGTCCTTGTTGGTATCCCTTATTTTTCAACACGTTTGCAAATCTGTGAAACCATGCTTTAGGCGACTATTTGAGACTGTACAGAGATTTTTTTAGTTTTCATACTTTGTTTTCTTCACCTTTCTTAGAGAATCCTAGTGGTAGCATCATGTAGACTTTTTCATCCAACTGTCCATCCAGGAATGCATTCTTAATATCAAGTTGTTGGAGTGGCCAATCCAAGTTTGCTGCTAGTGATAGAAGAACTCGAATTTTATTCAGTTTTGCAACTGGTGAGAAAGTTTGTGTAATCTATATCATAAGTTTGAGTATATTCCTTTGTGGCCAGACGAGCTTTGTACCTTTCTATTGTTCCTTCCGCTTTATATTTTATATTGAACACCCATTTATTTCCAACAGGCCTCTTTCCTTTTGGTAGTTCTATCACATCCCAAGTTTCATTTGTTTCCAAATCTTTCATTTCTTCCATTACTGCTTTTTTCCACCTGGGAGTTTCCAAGGCTTCTTGGATATTTCTCGAAACTTTTGTACTATCAAAGTTAGCGACAAAAGACTGAAAACCTAGAGATAGAGCTTTATAATCTACAAATTTTGAAATAGGATAGAGTGGAGTGTAAATGATCGAGTTTGTTATCCTAGAGCAATATAGTGTAAGACGATTTTAGAGAAAGCTCATAAAGATCCGGAGCTATCGCTTGTTCCGACTTTCTTGGTGCTTCGAGTGTGAGGTCATACTTTGATTTTGGCCATCTTGAGTAAACTATTGTCTCTTTGCCATGCTGTTTTTCTGTTCTTCCCATTGAGTTTAGGTTTCCTTTTGTCGATGGCATGTCGGGGAAAGGTGGTGTTGTATGTTTAGTGATGGATTCAGAGAGATTTCCAAGAACCGATCTTCACTTATGTTTTTCCCCTGAAGAGAGGATTTTTGAAAGTATGGATGATTTTCAAAGAAAGTGACATCAAGACGCATGAATATGCTTTTGGTGATAGGGTCATATCATTTATACTCCCTTTGTGTAGGTGAGTACCCATTAAATACACATTTAATTGCGTAAGGTTTGAGTTTATTTCGATGGTGGGAATGTATGTGTAGCTGTACATCTAAACATTTTTAGGGGTAAGTTGGAGCTAAAGCAAGAGTTAGGGAAGGATTTTTGGAACTTTTTGGAGAGGAGTTTCGAAGTTGAGTGTTCGACTAGTTATTCTGTTTATGAGGTAGGTTGGTGTTAGAATGACATTACCCTAAAAAAGTATTGTTTATATTTGTGTGAACATTAGGGCCCGAGCTACTTCAAGTGGATGTCTATCTTTTTGTTCAACAACTCCATTTTGTTGGGCAAAAGCTTTGGTGAATTATCCCATTTTCTTGGAGGTAGGTTTTAGGGTTATTATTGAAATATTCTGTGACATTGTCGGTGTGCAGAATTTGATTTTTTTCTGGAATTGAGTTCGAATCATTGCATAGAAATTTATGAACATAGAATGGGCTTGGACCTTTTCTTTTAACATATAGACCCAATAGATTTGGGTATGATTGTTGATAAACTGACAAACTATCTTGTGTGAGTGCGATTGGGGGTTCGTGAGGGTCTCCATAAGTTACTGTGAATCATGCTAAATGGGTGAGATGGTTTGTTCATGAATTTTGGAAATGAAGAATGGTGCTTACTCACATTACCCTCATCTAAGTAGTAGAGTCCCTCACACTTTTTAGCAATGTCAATCGTCTTCCCCGATGATAGGTTTGAAAACGCAGTGGCAAGAAAAAAAAGTTAGTTGAACAATTTAAGCTTTTTGTTAATGGGCTAATGGATAATAAATTGCATAATTGATTCGGAACATGTAGAATGTGTTCGAGTGTGATTAAGTTAGAGATTCGAATACTCCCTTTTCTAGGTATCGAAGAGAGGGAACCATTTGTAATTTTAACTTTAAGATTGCCCATACACGGTGAGTAAGAAAAACACAAATGGTAGGAGTCCGTCATGTGATCGGATGCATCGGAGTCAATAATCCATGGTGCTTTTGAGAGTGTGGAGGGCTCTCAGGAAATTACCTTTGTGGGCAAGGGAACTTAACGAACCAGGTGATTGAAAGCTGAAAAACGTTTTGTAGAGTTCTTTGTTCAGGATTGAGTGCATCGTTCAGAGTGGAATTTTGTATTTTTGTGGAGTCAACTATAGCTTGACAACCGTGATTTCCAGTATTTTGTCTCAGTTTCTAATCAGATGGTTTTTCATGCAAATCCCAGATTTTGGTCCATCATAAGAATTTGGACTCCCAAATCAGGCCCAACAGATGTTGCCCATCATTAGAATTTCTTTTAAATCTAGCAACAACCCCATTT